ATCCCTTAAAACCGTTTTTCAGCAGCAACGGAAAATGTCAATACTCATCTATTGACCTCCCTTACATGTGTGCAAAGTTTCATCAAAATCAGAATTTTCGGGTTCGCGAGGTTCCCTTGTAAGTGCTGAAGTTTTGTTCTTCAACAATATAGATCAAAAGTAAAGTGATTTCGGTGACAAAGAAATTTGTGAGTTCTTTATTACTAATATTTCGCACTTTTCATTTATTACAATATCTAATCGTGATGTATAGAGTTGAATATTTTAGCTAATATGAGTGAAGACGCTAATACATTTATACCGGCCTTTTACTCTCATCGGAGTGTTTTTATTACTGGTGGCACAGGTTTCATTGGTAAGGCATTATGTGAAAAATTACTCAGATTTTGTTCGAACATTCAAGAAATATTTCTGTTGATACGGCCACAAAAAAATTTAACCATCAATGATAAGCTCAAGAAGATGTTAAATAACAAACTTTTTGACACATTACGAAGCGAACGGCCATCCAATCTCGATAAACTCATTCCTATAAGCGGAGACGTAATTGCTAAAGACTTGGGATTGTTGCCAAACGACAGACAATTGTTAATCGAAAGAGTATCGATAATCTTTCACATTGCGGTTACTGTCCGTTTTGATGAGAGTCTCAAAAATGTAATTTTCACCAACTTGCGATCAACGCGCGACGTTTGTATTTTAGCCCAATCCATTAAAAATATAGTAGTAAGTTTTTTTGTACATATTTGTTTGCAAGTAAATTTCTTTCTGTAGCTTCGCGTGCTCATTAGACAGAATTTTAACAATATCGTAATTTTTTATTTACAAATTTATTAACAAAGGCTTTACATCATATAAGCTCGACGTACACACAAAGCGACAAATTTGTGGTGGACGAGGTCTTGTATCCCTTGGAAGTCGACTGGAGGCAGACGATCAAGATCGCTGAGTCTGTTGACGAAGAAATTCTAAAAATATTCACAGCAAAGTAATTCTATATTATTACAAACGCGCATATACATGAAATATATACGTTGTGTAGATACTATTGTAATATTGTTACTAATGTAACATTTTAAAATATTGTTTACGTCTATTTGTTGATTATTGCAGATATATAGCAAAGATAGATATATAGCAGATATATAGAACGTTAGCAAATACGTATATTTTTACAAAAAGATTGGCCGAGCAAATAATAAGTGATTTTTCCGAATCACTGCTTTGCATTATCTTAATAGACCGTCTATAGTTGTATCATCAATTAGGGATCCAGTACCAGGTTGGAATGACAATTTTAATGGTCCAATTGGCTTGATTATTAGCGGTAGTAGTGGAATACTACGCGTAGTTTATATAGATTCTAGTTTAAATTGCGACTTTATCCCGATAGATTTAGTGATTAGAGCAATGTTAATCGTGTCTTGGAAACGCGGAATACAAAGGTATGTAATCAAGCCGTTCTTTAGTACCTAATACATTATTTCAATCACTGGCGAAGGTGTGTTAAATTTTATACAATTTTCTATAAATCAGTATTTCTGAGGACAATAGTCTTCACATTTACAACAGCTCTTTGTGCAACATAAAAAACGTAAGTTTCGGTGAAATGATTAGCAGTGAACTACGTATCATCAGTGATATTCCTCTCGAACGCACCATTTGGAAACCAAATGTGATTATGACAAAAAGTCGTTTGGTATATTACATATTGATGATACTATTACATATTGTGCCTGCATTATTCATAGATAGAATATTAAAACTATTTGGTGCAAATCCGATGTAAGTTTTATGTAAAACTTTTTATTTACACCATATTTTCGAAATTATGCAATATCGAATTTGAGATTTTCTGTATAAGTGTAACACCTTACTTGATTCATTTAGACTACTACGATTGCAACGAAAAGTGTATGTAGCGAACAATGCTCTGTTGTTTGTTACAAGTAATTGTTTGCAATTTAATAATATAAATTTCATAAGTATATTTGAAAATCTGAACGCTAATAATGAAAAGGAATTTGGATACAAAGAACTTATAAAGTTTGACATGAATGAATATTTTAAGTACGTATAAAAGCTCACAGTATGTACCAAGTATATAATCTTACCAGAAAGACATTTCTTTTGTATGTAATATTATTTTTTACTTAAGAAATAAAATAATAATATTTATTCTTTATTTTAGAAATAGCTTCATCGGTTATAAACTCTATTTACTCAACGAAGATATGAATCGTTTAAAACAAGCTAGACGTAATTTTAAAAGGTAAAGTATTAAATAAATTCAGTCCTGATTTGACATGTGAAAGTGGCAGTCATCCAGGGCAGTGTTCTTTTACCTTCCAATTTTAATTTTTTTTTACTTACAATGTGACTTGTGTTTGATGACTGTCACTTTAGGACCAGTTTCTTTTTTACAATTTAATAATCTATCTACATTGATAAGGACCGAATTCCCGGTCGAAACGTCTGTATACAATTATTTTAATAAAGTTGCAACACATCAACAACAGTGTTAGTCGCTCCCATCGGCCTTTCTAAAGTGAAATTTTATCTTGGATATTGAAGCCTAATCACTCTCATCACATTTTTTAATGATTAATTTTTTTGATTTTGCTTTGCAAACTGTATGCTAAGTAATAAAACTTTAAATATTTTAAGAGATGCAAACGGAATACTAATTTAAGTTTATTATTGATGTTTCAGAATGGAGTGGCTCGACAAAATGACCAAAATATTGTTTGTAATTATATTATGGTATATTTTCTACCCACGTATATAAACGCAGAATGTTTTATCAAATATGAATAGTACTTTAAATTTCTATTTTTATGAGATAAATTGATAAAATGTAACTTTAAGGTTATATGCAGCTTTTAATAATTGCAGAAGTTTAAAAGTATGTAACTAATAGCGATTTCGGCTGGTCTGCACCGGTGTGCCACCTGTGTAGAGTTGGTGCAATTGAGTGCAACACCGCATCGGTGTGTGTACTGATTACACTAACTGGCTCCGACTAATTTGTGAGAGCCACTTTGTGTACACCCAACATGCACCTATGTGTACACACGGCGTCAAACATTCGCGGAGTAGGCGCGGGGATCGGAGGGCAAGCGGGGGGGTTGCTCGTAGCGCCAACGGGCGCCGTACGAACTAAGTAGTAGTCCACAACTACGTCGTGTCGATAATGTAACTATTCTTCTTTATTATTTTCTTCTCAAAACGTAAAACTAT